AACAGTAACTTTATTCCCACCCATAAAAAAGAAATAAGTAAATAAAATCTGTTCAAGTAACACAATCACAGCCAGATATCAAACAGAAATATCTCATTAAAAAGCTGTCATCTCCATCACAATGAAGCGCTTCACTTTGTGTTGTTTCAAGCAGCTTTTCATACTTTTGGCCMCARGATGGAGCCAAASAGAACTGTGTTGGAAAGCTTCGAGTAATGAACCCTTTTTCAAAGCAAGCTTCAGTGCTTCAGAAAAGCYTCATTTGCCCATCACTACAAAACGGTATTCCCCTTCTCCGCTCCGGCTTGTGTGTCAGCGTCACTTTCCTCCCCCCCTTCGCCGACAGTCGACGTCAGTGACGTGCCAGCCGTGGAAGGGAGACGTTCAGGTACAGTGAAGTAAAGTTGAAAAACCCACATTTACTGTTTTTGTTTGTTTGTTTAGACTTTGAAACAAATTAGGACGCTTTTTGTTGCTGATTGGTGACTGTCAGTTCTATGCAGCTGGTTTTATCACTCTTAAAGGCAACAGCGCCTTACATTATCGGATTAGTGCTGATTGATGTTACCTGGCAGGTGTGTCACTGCTAATTAAATAAACGATCGAATCTTACCCAGAACTTTCTATAGACTAAAACAGAAAAAAACTAAGTATTATATACTAACAAATGTGCCTAAATTGAGAATTTCAAGACTTAAAAAATGCTTGACAGTATTTGGTAAAATATTTTTCACATTAGTTTTCTTTTAGCAATGACAATTCCGACAGGCTGCAAACACCACAGATACATTCGCTGTCCAAAAACTACAACTCCCCTAAAAGTAAATGTAAAATGTTGGATACCATATTTTCTGAGTGCCTATACAGCTTTTTTGCAGAGACATTTCTCCGCAAAACATCCAAGGAAAAAGATGCCACAGACCTCCTATAATAGAACTATGTGGGCCTATAATGAAATCTTGATATGGGTTGTCCTTTCTTGGAAAGTAGTTTCTTGATTTAAAACGAGCTCTTGAGCAGAACAGCTTTTTTTAGCCTAGTTTTTAATAGTACGCCTATGGTAGACTTTGCAGCGTTAATAGCTGTAATACCCAGAACTTGCCACACGTCGGCAGTCAAGTTGTCTACTCAGGTTCATTCAGAGTTCCAACCCATAAATCATAGTTTGTATAAATACAAGAAAAACACACGGACTTCATGTTAATTGAAGATAAAGTACTTCACAATCCAAGTTATCTTTATTTAACGGAAATTAATATTGTCCGTGTAAACAGAAACAAAAAAAACAGAGTTTAACTTGGAGATTTTACATTTTAAGTGTTTTTGGTCATTTTTGGATTCAGATGCTGATTTGATTATTAGCTTGATTAGTTCATTTTGCTTTCTTTTCATGTTATATAGCAACGTGTAGCAGTTTGATCAAGTTTCTCCTACTTTCTCTCTTCACACACACCTGGCAGCCCTGTATGATGCCATCCTATTGTACCATCCTTGAAGAAAAGCATGACAGAAACCTGTCTGGGATGTCGCTCCCGCCATCTCGTATCATCCAGCTCTTTCACACGTTTAGAGCTGCAGCTCAGTAGTTTTATTGCCTCCCAGAGTTTAATTAGGGGCACAGATTTTCAACTTTGATCTGTGGAGTTGTTGTGTCTTAGTCGCCCTGCAGTGCAACGTGGCAAATGTTATTGTGCTCAAAGGAAGAAAAAAACTAATCACCTCATACGTTCATAATAAAGTGAGCTCACAGGTATATGTCACAGCTATATAACTTTTGAAAAGTGGCTGTGAGTCATCTGCCAGCGTGTGAGCGCGTGCTGTGAGCGTGTGTGTGTGTGTGTGTGTGTGTGAGGTGTGTGACTGTTTGTGTTGTGAGAGGACAATCTGATGTTCTGCCAGTATGTCCGCGGTGCCCCGGTGCGCTCATTGGTGCGTCCCTCCAACGTGTCACCAGTTTTGGTGGATTACCCCCAGATATCTTCAGCATCAGGAGGGTGGGACGTCACTCCGCTGCTTTCTCACCTGCGGTCCTCACGGCGTCCAGCTGCCAACAAGAACCTCTCATTTGCAAAAAGAAAACTTAGAGGAAAGTAGATCTTAAAAAAAAACTTTTATTTGCCGACTTCTCACTCCGAGCGCAACAATGCGACTGTTTACTTCACGCTGGAGGATGGCGCCGTCCTTTTCTTTCGTTTTGCTGACACCCTTTTTGTTGAAGGGTCTTTGGGTCAGCGGCTCTCCGGCTTGCGCGTCCTGCGGCTTCCCGCCGATGGAGAAAGACGCGGAGGAGAGGCTGATGATAGAATTCGCCAAACAGCAACTTTTGGACAAACTCCACCTGAAAGAGAGACCAAACATCACTCAAACCGTGCCCCGGGTTGCGCTCCTCACTGCGCTGCGCAAACTGCACGCGGGCCGCGTCAGACAGGATGGCACCCTGGAACTAGAGAACAGTGCGCCAGCCAAAGATCAAGGCTATGAAATTGTGAGCTTTGCAGATACAAGTAAGTCTGAGACCCTTTTCAACACATTATTAATGCTGCTTCGGCATGTCCAGTACGCGCGCACCGGGGGGCGCGCACTCATACGTACCGGTGCGTAAAATACGCGTAATGGGTCAGAGTTTCCTCGCGACTTGTTCAGGTTGTTATGGAAATACAGTGGCTGTCACCAAGTTTGTACAAACGTTTGGTTAGCCAAATGAAACACGTTTAGATGTTTTCTTAGAAGTACCACGCCCCCTGAAAAAACCAACAACATACACATCATTGTAATTTGTACGTTTAAATGTGAAGTTTTTTTCTCCTTATAAACAATAAAACAGGAAAACAGAGCAGGCAGTTTCATGCAAATGCTTCAAACATTTAATTAGCTTTTTATCAAAACTTACACTGGAATTGTTTTTATGTCCTATACAATAATTGTTGAACTGTAACAAGCTGTGCACAAATGTGTAATAAATTAATTATTAGACAATTACTGTGGTGTTTCAGACAGATAACAGATGTTTGAAATGTCACCCAAAAAAAGCAATGACAAGGAAGCATTGAAGCCAACTTACTGTCTGACCCAGACAACTGTCAGATGCGTGCTCATCCACTGGACATGAAGAACAATGCAAACTAACTCATGACCTAATCAGAAAAGAAAACAGTTTTAATGAATAACATTAAAAATAGTTAAACTATCAGAGTGGGGGTAAATTTGAAAGAGTCACTGGCAGAGATGCATAGAAGAGGATGCCCAAATAATGGCTCGGATCTGAAAATTCATCATTCAAGAAACCCAGACAACATCAGTGAATAAAAACTTTGGGCAAATGTGAAACTTGCTTTTTGAGCATAATTATGCAGGATTTAAAAGACTAAAGTGTTTACAAGTTGTGCTATTTCCTTTCAAAAAAGGGGGTTAAAATTTGCTCAAACCTTTACTCATATGGTCTAAATTCACATAAACTGGGACATTAATGTTTGAGGAAAAGATCGAGCCATGGAGATGAATGAATTTCCCTTCAGAACCCGACAAATTTACTGCAGCCTTTACAGGCACCTGTTGAAAAGTGTAAGACTGAGTTGGTCTTTATAGCTAAATTCAATTCGTAATTAAAGTGACTACCTAACATGTTGAAATATTAACAGTCTATGTTGTGTTTAAATGTCATTGTTTCATAGATGGCTCAGAGAGGGGTGACAAGGCCAGCCTTAGCCTTACCTTTCAATTTCTGCAGGAACGCGGCAAGAGCGTCCAGGTCCTCCAGTCGTCCCTGTGGATCTACGCCCACGCCTCTCAGGACCCCCACCGGAGCTCCCGTCTTCTTGCCCGGGTCTTCCTCTCCGCAGATGGCGAAATCTCCGATTCCAACCGCACCCTGGTGATAGAAAAGATGCTGGAAGTTCAGGAGAGTAACTGGCACACGTTCTCCATCACCCGCACTCTGCAGGCGTTCCTGGATGGAGGCGAGAGGCGGCTGCGGCTCGAGGTCAGCTGCGAAGAAGACGGGAAGAACCTTTGCTCTCTGGACGGCTCCGCCGACACGCCCAACCAGCCCTTCATGGTGGCCCAGGTCCGTCTACGCGACGACCGCTCCAAGCACGTAATCCGGAAGCGCTCGTTGCATTGCGGGGAACATGTCACGGTCTGCTGCAAAAAAGACTTTTACATCAAGTTCAAGGACATCCAGTGGGACGAGTGGATAATTGCACCCGAAGGCTACCACATGAACTACTGCATGGGCCAGTGTCCCCAACATCTGGCTGGTTCTCCAGGCATAGCCTCCTCGTTCCACGCCGCTGTCTTCAGCCAGCTCAAAGTCAACGGCATCAACACGGCCACATCTTCGTGCTGCATTCCCACCGAGCGCCGGCCGCTCTCCATGGTCTACTTCAACTCTCAGCACAGCATTGTCAAAACGGACGTCTCTGACATGATAGTGGAGTCCTGCGGATGCACATAAAATACAAGACACTTTGTAGATACCCCGTTGCGTTTTAGACAGAAAGACTTAAAAAGACAGCAAAATGCACATAAATAGTGTAGGAATGTCAGACTTTGGACCACCGACATTTGTAGTTTTCATACAAGACTGTACACTACAAAATGAGAAATACCCACAAAATGCTAAATGTTTTTTTTTACTAATTCTTATGCAATTTTTAAATATATATATTTATAAAGTGTTTTATAGAAGCAGGAAAAGTCAAAATTGTTGAAGTATTGTAGTGAGTAGTGTGCCTCACAGTATTTCTTTATTGCAAAGTACAACAAAACCCATGGGATTCAGTAGTTAAAATCTTAATGCAATTTCTTCAAAATCTACATTTACTGTGAAATTACACAGCTACATCAGTGTAAATGTCTAAATTATATTTATTTTATTTTATAAATATGAAGTTTTTTATAAACTGGTGCCAGCATTCAAAACAGAGACGGTGGTATGTTTACCAGTGAACTCTTTCCAAGCATTTCAGGTCTTCCTTCTTTTCTTTATATTTCTCTTTAAGTGCTTAAGAAATTGAATACGTCGTAATGTTTCTGTCCATCAGATCAGAGAACAGCTTTTGTTTTTGCCTCAGTTCATTTCTCAGTCTCAGGGAAGGCAGCAGATTGTTTTTGTTTTTTTTTTCTTTTAGTCAGCTTTATATTGTAGCAAATAAATTCACCGACTATGTTCAGATGTGTTCCTGAGGCCAGGCAGTACACAACTGTCTGACCCAACAAATAATTCCCTCGAATATAAGGAAACTGGAGTTGCAGTTTACTAAAAAAAAAAGGAAAATAATATGAATAAAAAAAAGATTCAGTTTGATAAAAAAAGATGTTTTCTGTTGATTACATGGATTTAATCTTTCTGAAATCACAGCTGCAGGTTTGACGTTTTTCAAACTGTGAAGTGTTCAAGAACAAAAGAGCCAGCTGTTTCAAAGCAAGGCTTTAACGGAGGGGTCTTTGATTCAAAGTGTGCCTTCTTCTGTAATTTATCAAGTTGAAATTGCAGGATGAAATTAGTTTGCCAGAAAGAAACCAAAGAGACAGTTTATACGTTTGTCTTATGAATGATTTATTGAGTCATTTTTTGAACCTGTGCACCCACCCTGACATAAATTACCTGTATTCTACGCATTTCATCTGTATTTCTTACATTTAGGAAATTTTGCCTCTGTATTGTCAAAATGTACTGATTTAGGTTTGTTACACACTGCAAAGAAATCAGAAACGAGCAGGTCTGAGCTACAATCTGCCCCGCTCCCTGACTACACAAGACTTATGCAGCATAAAGGCTTTTTGCATTATGTTAAATCTCCGTCTGCACTGTAATATTGACACAAGTAGGTGAATCCTTTGTGCCAGTTTATGAACTCAAGGTCATCTCACAGCAGTATGAGCAAACATTTAGCTATTGCTTCACTTGTCGGCTAATGTGAAGGTCTGTAAGGCAGGTGGGTCAACGAGCATGTGCTGTTGCACGTTGGCATTTATAGCTTTCAAAGTCTAAAGTTTCCAGGGATGATGCAAATTTAGTATCTTTCCAGCTCCAGGAAATCTAGCTGTGTCTGTTTTTGGAAAAACCTTGATGGCATTTTAATAGCTCGTTTTTGGTTTGAAGGTTTACGCTTGACGGTTTTCAGATTTATTATCAAACGGATCATTTATAAATAGATAAAACGTGGTAAGTATTGTAATTAAAAATAACACCTTCCATTTTAAACATGCTTTGAATAAAGCATGGGGAGTGTGTGCAATATTCAAACAAGGCACCTCTAAAATATTTTCTACGAGTACATTCGAGTATTTTCCAAAGATTTTAGTCGGAATATTTTATAAAAATTTTGAGCCACAATAGCAACAGTTTTCTGCTCTGAGCACTGAGTTCAAACCTGTGTAGAAATACTTAAAATCCATGATTTAAAGTGAACATATCAACAATACTAAGCTTGCTTCTTTTCTAACAGCTCAAATTCAGCTTCACTTGCCTTTATTCTACAAATGACTTAACTGATAAAAAACAATCCAAGCATTATCTCTTCATTTAAATTCACACCTGCTCATGGCTCAGTGACCCGCAGGGCCCACATGGCTGACTTCAGTGTTTCCTTTAATTTGTCACCTGTTTTTATCCTGTATACACTTCCCATCACAGGAATCACAGTGAGATTGAAGTGCCATTGAAGCACAGTTAAACCAAGCACTTTATCACCCTTCTACTGCAATTTCACAGCAAACTTTGCTTGACGGATATTTTACTATAACGAAGGTGGAAACAACCAAAAGCAAACGCGTCTGTGCTTCCTTTCCCAAGTTTTACTTGTGTTTTACATGTTGTGTTGTAAATATGAGAGCATACAGAAGATGTAACAAGTGAAAATGATTCCTCTGAAATGTATAATTGACTTTATATTTTATATAATTCTGTATTTTACATCTGTAACTAATTAAGATTTCAATAGCATCATGTATTGAAATGATTTGATTACAGATGAAGTGTGTCTTTTTAAATAAAAAAAGTACATTTTATAAAGCCAAGTTGTCATGCTGCTTTATTGAACGTTTTGTACATTTTGCTTGACATTTTTAAGGTGAAGTCACTGCACCACAGATCAAAAAAATTGTCAATAATAATTATTGCATAACTTGTCAAATTTAACATCAGAAAAAAACTTCTTACATCACCTTAAAAATCTTGTCTAAGTAGGTTGTTTCCATATCTGCTAAAACAAATTTACTTCTTATTCATTTATTTGATTATCTTTGTATTACATTAGGTATGTCAAAGAAACAAACACATGTCATGTATTGATACTTTTTCTAGGGTAAAGGGTGTGTTTGCTCATGCAAACACTAGAAGTGGCTTTATGGACCGTCTGTGTTTGATGTGTAAACAGTTGTCACAGTCCCTTGGCATGTAACCATTTTCATGTCACATTTGCATTTAGGACTGAATCTATAGATTAGACAATCAGAGCAAATAATCCTTCAACGCAATAAAGTAACTATACTATGCTTCATTTTGTTTAGTTACTGGCTTATAAAAAGATTTTACAACACCAAACTCTGCATTTGTAGAAAATAAAAATAACATTCACATAATCTTGTTTACTTTCTCTTTTTTTAAAACTGCATTTGCTCAAATGTCCTGAAGGAAAATATTCAAAATGTTAGATTTTTGCTTTTAAGTTTAGAAGATAATGTCACCTGAAGCCAAAATATTTCTCAACTCCACTAGTAAGTCCAGCAGCAGTGTTCACGTTACACCAAACAAAATGGAATATAATCAATGTCTGAGTCAGTAAAGCTTTAAAA